TATTCTCAACATTACAGTGTACTCATCCATGTCTTGATAGAAAATTTTACTACATATCTCACTAGGGTGTTACATTCCCTGCCATGCATGTGATCCTTTCAAACTGGGCACCACCCTTGGAAAGAAGCAGAATGGTTACCATGGTGTATGCTGGTGAGTCAACGTTATTTCAAATGTTCTGAATTTTCTCTGGCACTAATGACATTTCGTAGGCTCATGCATGGGAACTATACTAACCCTAGCACAAGGGGGAGTCATGATGCGGGCTTGGGGTTGGGTGTCAATTTTTTATTTCTATGGAGGACTGACAGTGATATGGTTTGTAGCTTGGTTCTTCCTTGTGTCAGATAGTCCTGAAAACCATCCTTACATATCCAAGGAAGAGAAATTGTTCATCCTGGCAACTCTGAGCAAGGAGAAGAAGACAGTTAGTTAAGAATCACTTCTAAACCTTGACAAGAAAATGACATCATGAACTTGACTTCCTTTAGATCTCAACCATGCCATGGAAGCAAATTTTGACGTCAGTTCCATTTTGGGCGCTACTGGTGACTCACATGGGAAACAACCTGGGTTACTGGATGCTCTTAACTCAGCTGACAACTTACATGAACAATATCCTTCATTTTGAAATCCAAGAGGTCAGCAAGGCTCGTCAAAACATTCCAGAAGGTTTAAAAAGATTTATCTTGTACTTCAAAGAACGGACCCCTCTCTGCACTTCCCTATGTTTTGCTGTTTGGATGGACACAGATACATGCTCAAATAATGGACTACTGCAGGTCCAAGAAGATTTTGTCAACAACAGCAGTCAGAAAGATCTCCAACACCTTCGGTAACATTCGTGAAGCTATGACATGGGCAACTCAATTCATGACAACTCTTTCAGAAGATAGTGATTTTAAAATGCAATGATGCCTAAACCTCCAATAACTTCAGTTTATAGTGAGCCTCACAAAATAAATTCATGGGCATTCACAGTGAAATTAATATGAATCAGAAATTTTGTCTCATCCCAACAAGCACAATTTTAATGAAAAAAATTTGAATCCTGATCAGGAACCAACCAAACGAACTACAAGAAAGAATTCTTCGGAATCGAGTTCATTCATCATTGTTCCATAAAATCATGAAAGATGGAAATATGAATTTGGAGGCTGCTTAGAAAGGCTGATCGTTTGGATTTGAATCAATTGAATGCAATGAGTAACACTCAGCGCAAGCATAATACAGTGCTTATGAAGGTTATCAAATGTAAATACTGACACATTCACATATAGTTAAGTATTGTCGCAAATAAATTCAGTTGTTCAAATTTCGTTCCCAATGAACAATTTTCAAGGTTACTGCAATGAAGTCACTCCGCTATTTGAGTCATGGTACTTGTGGCGCCACGTTTTCCGAAGATCACGTGACCTGAGCATGCTACACACGCTCGGGCACGTTGACAACAACTGTACACGGGTACGGCGTGGTACGCGCCCGGTATGTCGTAACACCGACTACCGGGTCGGAGAACGAGGAAAGGAGGAGGAGGGTCGGAAGAGCGTGGCGTGGGCTCCGAAGCCCACAGAAGAATTCGTGCAGCGATTCAGAGTGGACCTCTGTTGTGTTGTTGTCTGTTTGTCTGAGCAATTATTTGTCTTGTCTAAAAGCCTTGAATCTGAAGTGTGTTGTGAGAATGGGCTCCGAAGCCCACAGAAGAATTCGTGCAGCGATTCAGAGTGGACCTCTGTTGTGTTGTTGTCTGTTTGTCTGAGCAATTATTTGTCTTGTCTAAAAGCCTTGAATCTGAAGTGTGTTGTGAGATTGTATTAAAGAGAGCAAACTTCTTGGGACTCCCTTCTGGAGGATCCGGCCGGTAAAGGCTGAATCTGCTTTTTATTTCCCTTTCAAATCCCTTGTCGGTTTCCACCCGACAACATCCCTGGATTAGTTTTATCCCTTTCAGCTTCTTGGCCCTTTCATTTTGGGAGCCAGGAGAAGAGTTCCCATTTAGAGGCCACAAAACATTAGCAGAAAAAGTCCAACTTTGGGAAATCACAACACATTTTTGCCAGACAAAGTCTGACTTTGCCCTATGCCACCTGGCTTGGCTTCCATGGCCTTCAACAAAATTTAAACCTGGGCCCACCTGAGAAAATCTGTACTTTGTCCCACAATTGGAAAGAACCCGTTGCCGCAGAAGGGTTAAACCATATTTGCGGTCTTGTAGGTGAAACTTGCCGCTTTCTAACTTGCCACACACCCAACCTGCCTCAAGCTGTTGAACTTGCTGCTGTCACATCTTAATGATGGGCTGGCTAAATAACATGCATTTTTTTGGTGACAAGGTTTTTTTCATCTTATTTTACTGTACTATTTTTTCCCTTTTGTCCAATTGCAAACATATTCTGCTGTGAACCAAAATTTAAAAAAATTTCAAGATCTGCCTGAATTAATTATCAAGTACAGCAAGTTGAAGCATCAGCAACTTATAACAGCTGCAAGCTGAGACTGCAGTGAGAAATGATTGCGGCAACTTTTTACAGATGCAACTTGTTACTGCAGTCACTTTGAGCTGTGGTCACTTGCAGCAGGAACAAGTTACAGTGCAGCAAGTTAAGGTGCGGCAAGCTCAACTGCACCAAACTTTACCTGCACCATTTGCAGAAGCTGAGGGTATACAGTAAAACCCCTGTACAAAAAATACTGCTACAACAAAATTTTCAGCATGACACACTCTTTTCAAAGTTCCAGCAGAAATCCTTTAGAGTACATGTTATGAAAATCTTGTTACAACAAACTCTAATGCCAACATAACGTTTTATTCAGGAAAATGTGATCTTGTAATTAAAATCCCCATTGAAGGCAGACACAGTCTCAAATTTCCCAAGAAAAATACGACTAACTTATTCTTGGGACATAAAAGTGGAATCAAGGTCAAGCATTCTTCAAAATTCACCCAAACATCATCTCTTTCAAAATTTGCTTCCTGGATTAGGAAATATAGGTTTGAAGGGGGGTAGATGAAAAAAATGAACTCAGCAAAACTCATGTTGAAAGATGTTTGTGTGCTTGAAAATCACATTCTTTTTTGAAAATCTACAGAACAAAGAATTCCTTGGAGAAACTTAAAGTCAACAAGAAGTGCCAATGTTTACCTGTTATTCAGAGTGAATGTTTGTTTTTAACATTTCAATTTCTTTTTGAAGATCACAGTTTTTCAAACACGGAAAAACAGCTGAAAAGACCACAAAAGGAAGATGTTGAATGTATGCAGCTTTAATTTTTAAAAAGTCTTCCAATAAGCAACAATTTTTGAAAATCTTATTATAACAATTTATTCTCTAAATAAACTTTTTTGGAAGTTCTTAAAAGTTTGTTGTTACAAGATTTTACTGTAATACAAATTATATAGCCCTTTCTTCGAAGAGTTTTTCAAGTATTGGGAACGTTTTCGGAACTAAAATCCCTGTGAAGTTTTCTCTTTTTGAGCAGCCGCTGGTGTGAGACTTCCCTTGTAGTTTATTTTAAATTTCGTAGGTGTCGCTCGATCACGGGAATACTGTATATCCTTTCAAGTCATTTCACTCATACAAAAAGATGAAGAGTCTGCCATGCAAATCAAGCAAAACTCAGCTTACAATGCCGATCCTTATACTCAAATAAATTTAAATTTAATTTTTAGAAGGAAATCGGAAATATATATTTGGTTAAAAACAGGAATCTGGAATATATGAGCACATTAACGATTCGCTCTCATTCTGCTCCAATTGCATACATTTGCAGCAACAAAAAACAGAAGAAAATCTGCAGCACTCTTTCATTCTCAATTCGAATAGATGGAGAAAAGGCTTCCAATCCCTTTTGCAATGCTACACGCGATGTAGTAACAAAAACTTCCAAGAATCCCACCAATCAATTAAGTCAGCTGGACGTCGAAAAGTTACTCTCTTTTCCTGCATGAAGATCCGTTCTCCAGAATGGGTAACCAGGGGTCTGATAAAAGTTCTTGACAAAAAAAAAAACTTGAGACTGCATACGATGGAGCTGAAATACAATTATTCTTCAGAAAAAAACACTTTCTGGCACAAGAAAAAATTCAGCCATCTTTTGACATATTTTGCAGAGAAATTTTTCCGACAGCCCTCTGCTGCTCTTCAATCAAAAGATGAGGCACCCATCTTACAGATCTCTTTTTTTTTTAGTCCAGCTTCTCCTTCAAGTTTTTTTAAGGTTGATATGGCATTCACTCCAATAGAGGGGCAATCATCAGGTCTTCCAAGGTTGTTCTGCTGTTTTTATCAACAACCACCTGCACAACCACCACATCTTGAGATAATAACTTGGTGGCCACGGAGGCAGTTGTTGACCCTTCCATGGAAAAGTTGGGATATTTTTGCAAACGTTTGTGCCCATGAGGACTGAAATTGAAGAGCATCAAATGACCACCATCAAGTCACACATTAAGACAAAGTCCAATATTTTTTCTCTCCTGGAAGATATTTCCTTGCTGCAAAAATCCTTGCTGGGTGGCATTTTTCTGCATTTGCAATACAGAATTAGCATTTAACCTGAAGATGAATCCCCCTTCCTAATTACTTTCAAACCTGGGCCTTCTCAACCTTGGTGTCCTTTTTGACCTGCAGCAAAACTTGAATGTGACTGTTAGCAAAAGATATCCCAAATTTGGTCTGGGGTGGAAAGGAGGCTGTCACTGTCCAAATGTTATTAAAAATTGTGATATAACCTTGAGAGAACTATATACATGTACTAAACTGCAATTCGACCCTAATCCATTGCTGGACTATGGTCAAGATAAAATGGTGGAATTGGAAGACACGGCATGAAATTGAGTAAGAGCAGTACTGTTTACAAAAACACTAGAAAATTGACTGAAGCAGGTTAAATTGCAGGGCATAGCTAAGATTTCAAGTCAACTTCCCAGCAAATTTGACCATCAAATTGCTGGATGGATAAAGTGTTGTGGTCAAATTGTAAGGTACCACCTGTACAACCCTTATAGAATTAATGCCAGGTTAATTTCAAGAATTTTGAAGGACAAGCCAAGCAACACAAAAGAAAAGTAATCTGCAAGATTTATGTCTCATCCTTTGAGCAAAGGGCAGGAAGCTACCATAGGGCCTTTTCCACAGCAAAAAAAGCCTTCACAAAATTTGTCAAACAGGTGGCTGCATTTTTTCCTTGTGCCAAAGAACACCGTTTTTAAAAACGATCATATATAGTCTTTCAGTTCAATTTCATGAAGTTTCAATTTTTTCTTCCTAAAACTTTTGGTAGGTCCCTCCTAATAATACAGCGAGGAAAAAGGAGAAAAGCTGACCTCCCGTTTCCACACCAAGGACCTCAGCGGCGGACTCGCTTGCACATCGCATTCGAAATAGGCATCATCGCCGACTTTGATGTTCTCTGGGTCCAGTTTGTTTCCGAATCTCAAGTCCAAAACAGGTGGATCTAGAGAAGAAGAAGAAAACAATACAAATAATCAAATGCATTCCTCTGGTGAACGATCATTAATTAGAATCACACGATGAGTCGTCTCTTCCCGCCGCGGCTGTAAAAACTTCATGCGTTTATTTTTTTTTTGTGCAAATATATCTTCTGCTTTCGATCATTTTTCTCGGTTCCATTCATAACATTTCAAATATTTTCAACCGTTGTTGAACACTGGTATGAAAAAGAAACCAAGACAAAAAGAAGAATTCGATTAATTCTGTTTCAAGTCTTAAACCGCCCGCCCTACTATATGATAGACCTCGTATTTCTTTCAAATTTTTTATTTGTCCCTGCTTTCATTTTTTTTTGTGTGCATAGGTTCGAGTGATTTCATACATTCAAATTTCTTTTTAGACAATCACACATTGACTAGAAAAGCACAAGCAAAAAGCAGTATTCAGTAGTTTCCACTTCAGCAAACGGCCACCGCTCGAAAAAACTTGATGAATTTACAATATTCCCAATTTTGTAGATGTCGCCTGCTCTCAGTTCTATTTTGCTATTGATTCCAAGTACTGTATTGTACTGTAAAAGAATTACTTGTTCGTATATCCAACACCTTCAATCCCAGACTGCAGAATTTCACTTACCTTTGCTTATAGTTGTGAGAAAATACCTGCTTATCCGGATGATTTTAGAATACCTTCTAAAAGCATCCTGATTTTCAAAATTTTAGGGTCTAAAATAAATCTGTTTTATGCGATTCGTGCAAAAAATTCGCTCAAGTTGACGTGTGGTCAATTTATGTTTATTCATGTCATTAAATCAGGTAACACCTGCCTTCACGTTGAGAAATATTTGATTTAAAAACAAACAAACAAAAAAAATTGACGAAAATGCCCCGAATATACCGTCATGAACTTTTAAACACAGCTGGCTGTGCTTTGTTTCTACACCCTTTATGATCTATTTTTTTTTTACTTTACACTGTAGTATACAGAAGTTTGTTACATTCATTCGAGTTGAGACATCATTCTTTCAATAGGTCATGTCATCGTAAATTTCAGTCAGTGTACATGGACCTTTAATACATTTATTTTTTCTGGCCAATGAAATAATTCACGAGACGCCCGCGTTAATTTTTCAGAAATTAGAGGGAGAACAACCCCAAAAATGTTCATCACAATTTATTCAGCAATATTCTAAAACATCGAATTAATCCTCTGGATAAAATAATGCATCCTCACTCCATGGATCTGATGGGTTATTTATACACTGATTATACAAAGAACCCCAGTGAAAAACAAAGTTCTGGATTCGTCCTTGAGAATGTGTCCAGGTTCTCACGGGTCTTTCGTCGATATATATATATATATACAGAGAACAGATAATTATTCAAGCATTTGCTGCGAGGATTGATCCATAAGAAGAAAACCCCTCTTCGGGATCAGACAAGAAGTGCATATCTGCAAAAACTTTGCGTGATTCCCTGGTGCTTATGAAGGGGTTTTACGATCACAATACAAGTCCGAGACAGAAGAGGCTTGTGTGAACCGAGTGTACTTTCCAGAGAGAGAAAGACAAAGGAAGACAGAGAAAGAGGAAGGAAAGACGGATTCTCAAGTACTCTGGAGAATATTGCGTGGAAAATATGTACTTACATAGAACCCGCAGCAGCTGGGAGTCTTCCAGGACGGCCACATTTGGCAGATTCGGATTCCGAGCTTGGCATTTTATTGTTTTGCCGTCGTCCAGCCTGGTGGGGTTAAACAGCAGCACACTGTCTGTCCGATCCCCTGCTGTTGCTCTCTGAATGGGGTGGGAAAGCAGTAAAAAAAAANGGGCAGGGAAATCCTGAAGGCCTGGGATTGGCCGACAAATCGGTAATCGAAGACGTCTTGGCGCCAAGACAGACGTCTTGGCGCCAAGAAAGTTTAATTTTTTCTTGGGGAGGGGAAACCGTTGACGGATTTCGTCCGTTTTTTTACGCGCGGGTGGTTTTCCACCCGATTAGATATTTTTAATTGATTTTTATTCGGGGTGCGTCGCGAGTCCCCAACACCTGTTGGAAGTTCCTTAGAAACAATGCAATCACCCTTGTGCAGCAAAGACAGGGTATTCTTTCAAAATGTTGTGCCCATTAGCACTGGGAATTTAGGATTTCTAATTTTGTAAACCTACCAAGGCCCAAGTCAAGAAAAAGTCTGACATTTTTTTATAATCCTGCAGAAAATGCTTAATGAAAAAAAAATTCTCACTGGGTGGGATTTTTTCCTGCATTCCTGGCACAGGATTAGCATTGGAGATTCCTGAAAAAAAATTTTAATTTCCCCTCCCACATTTTTCCTGACTTAGGCATTCAGTTACCCCTTTGGTCAAACTGTAATGTGTCAACCCAAAAAATCCCAACTCTGCAGAGCAATGCAGACAAACGGAGGGTTAAAAACCTCTCTGACATGATCAAAGGCTTTTCATCACACACCTGCATATAAGTTAAAATTTCCAAAGCCTTTTGGCTATTTCTTTTCTTGACACAAGAAAGAAACAATCAATAAAAGAGTAACTAGACCTGTTTTGAAAGGAAGGAAAAGACTAATTGGGCAAAGGAACCCTTGCCTCCAAATTCAGTATCATGTCAAATCCTTCAAGAAGCAATTGATGACCCAGAATATCACCATTTAAAATCTTCTGAAATTTTCTCATGTTTCCCACAACAATAAAATTTGTTCCCAAGCTGAATACCTCACTCTAAAATTGTTCAAGGGCTTCTACAACCCCAGTTGAAACTATCTGATTCAGATTTGAAAGGAATTTCAAAATAAATTTGACTTACGCAGTTTTTGTGTTCGGAATAAAGCATAATATGATTTTCATGGGTTAAGAAAGAAAATTATCTTATTTTGATTAAACCTAAGAACGCAATTATCATTCATAGATGTGATTTGTGCTTGATGTTATTTGTTACCTTGTGCAACGCATGGAGATAGAAATTTAAATTAGCTTTTTTGGTTTTCTAAAAGGCAAAAAACATCAACCAAGAGAGTTTAGCTAAGAAAACTTTCAATTTAAATAATTTAAAATACCATGATCTTATTTGGATCAGTCAGGGATTCAGTGTAAATTTGAATAAGGATCAGATAGTGGTGTCTCATTGAGGCTTGACCTTATTTGTAAGAATTTTTCAAGGATAATGTGCATCCTTGTACAGTACCAGGTATCAAATATGAAAAATATAGGAACAAATATGAAAAATATATATGGGACTCGGTAATCATTCAACAAACATCATATTGTCGTAAAGCAAACGTTGCCCTAATTTTCTGGAGCATTGCTCATCAACTGACGTTCTTGAAGGATATAAAAAACACGGAAAAAACGAGTTCCGTCCTTCAATTTTTGCGCCAAAAAATATAAAGAAAAACAGCGTCAAATATAAACAGAAGAAAAGCAAACAACACTGGTGTATGTGTGGGTTTGTGTGCGAACAAACAACGCGTATATAAAGTGACAGAAAAGTAGAATGAAAATTCCCGGAGGCACCCGGAATGAAGAAAACTTGGCAGAGCCAATTTAGTTTTTTTTTCTCGCGTCCCTTATTTTCCTTTCTGAATTTCGCAACAAAACCGCAATTTCCTTCACAATTGCGTGGCAACTTTCCCCGTGCCAGGCCACACACATACACACACACATACCCATACCTGTATATTCAGCGAGATGCGAAACTCATCTCAGTTTTGTTGCAAAAAGTGGCTGCACAACTGGGCATGAACTAACTGAACGCCAATATGTTGTGGAGAGAATGTACTGAAAGACACCATTGAAGGCTTTTCCTCATCTCAGCAGTCATTTTGATTATAAAGCAACCTTCAGAGAGCAACTTCAATTGTGAGAGATCATAACTCCCTTTTTATTCTTTCTTCATATTGTTTCATAATTTATATCTGTGTTTGGATTTGGATTTTTGCACAAATTTGTTCAAGTCCCTTGTGTTGGCCTATTTCAGTTTTTTTCATGTTTGCCATTTAAATTATGTAATGAATAATTCTGGTATAACTAGGAATGTTTATTTAAGGTGTATCCATGAATATAGAAAGAATAAGTATGTGATTGGCTGCAAACTTGCTGTTTCATGTTTCCCACTCCTCGTATATATCATCTATTCTTTTGTTTGATTCTGTAAATGCCCAATATGCCACTCAATTGAGAACCCAGTTGAAACTAAGCATTGCTCAAATTTAGCGTTTTCTATAACAGAACTGACCACAACTCAGTTCAGTGCCCCTGACTTAACAGCCAATGAATCCATTTTCACACAACTGTCCACAACTCAATTGAATTGAAGTTTAGCTCCGTAGAGCAACGATTAATTTTGCTTGGTTCTCAATTCACCAGAGCTTAATCAGGTGAAACTGAATTGGGAACTGGAAAACTTTGACCATTGATCAATTACTCACCACATAAGCAACTGCAACTAAATTGAGCACACCCACCTTGCAATATAATAAAGTTTTTGTGTTGACTGCAAAAAATAACCATATCCCAGATACTGTAGTTGGTGTAATGTATGTTATTTTTTGTACATTACAATAGTTCAAGAATTATGTCCCATTCCTGTCATAGTGATTCATACCTGCAATAAAATAGACAAAAGTTCAAGATTTTTTTTTTTGAATTTCTAAGAAAAAATTATGACATTGGAAAAAAACCCTTAATAAATTATATCCTCCATATATTCTAGAGAAAACTCATCTGGGTGAAACTGAGTTTTTCCTGGCAGCAATCAGTTGGTCTGGGCGCTGTTTTGTCATCCCACAACTGCGTCCATAATGCGTAAATGCAGGGCAGGAAAACCTGCAGGGAAACCCAGAACCTTCGTCCGCAGGAAAAGACGCCCGCGGGGGGTTTCGGGTTACGCGGGGAATAATTTGCATACACTAACGAGCTTTCAAAGCTCGTCTGGGAATTAAACCAGCCGAAGAAACGTAAGCGGAATAAGATTGATTCTACGTCGTCGAGGCCTTGGAAAAGTGTGGAGTAGCGAATTGAACTTCTATAGCAAATAATTAAATACCTGGTGTCCAAAAAAGTTACTGTTTCTCAAACAAGTCAAACGCATCTCTATGATGCTTTGAAAGAAATGCAATCTTGAGAGGAAACATTTCTTGAATTCCATTGATGGTGATATACTATGCCAAAAATATTCACGAAATTTTTTTTGAGAAGAGATGTAGTGAAATGTGGTCGCCGTAATGGATGACAATTTTAGCCAAGACTTTTTTATTTTTTGTAGATTGTATTTTTGAACAAAAAAATTGTATGGGAGTAGGCTGTGATTTCAATTACGTTTCTGAATAAAGAAGAACATATGAAGTGATACTCTGAGCAAAAGAAGTCATAATGCGCTGAATATTGGACATTTTGAAAGATAAATTCATGCATGAAACGATTTGGTGGCGATAAGATGCCGAAAAGGTCCACAAAGATTTAATGAGAAGCGATGCAGTGAAAATGGGTCGCATCACCTCAAAAAATTTAAACGCTTTTTTCTTCTTAGGTAACTTACTTTCAAACAGGTATTTTTGTGAGTGAGTACAATTCGATTTTGATTCAATTTCTAAAATAAAAAAGAACCTAAAACGACTGAATAGAGTCACAGCGGATAAGAATAATATCCAGAATAATATAATATACATAAGAATAATATATTTTAATCTATTGCGATAATGAAAATAAAAATGTTTTATCCTCCCAATAATACAACGAAATTGAAACCTTCGTTTCCAAAAAACAAAAAATTCGATATCCTCAGCAGTAAATGTTTCTACACCCTGTATCGCCAATATTTATGCGTCCCACGCAATTCCCGTCACGTCTGGAAAGAAGACAAAGAAAAAAATATCTTCAGACAAAAGCAAAAAGGTCTTGAGAAGTTCGGACAGTTGAATTCCCTGGACCCATCGCCATTCTTCTGTTGCAATTTCGACGACATTCCAAGTACTCGAGGTACCAATAAACTGCCAAACACCAGACGAAAGCTTTCCGGAGAAATATATTTCAACGTCTGGTTCAGTAAATTCCTGATTCCACTGACGTGAACATTGCTTCCGAAACCGAGGATGTATTTTTGTCTTGAAATACATTTGACAGATATTTTATGTATGATATACTGTATTTTATTTCATGCTGTTTAATGGGAAATTTGTGCCTGTTTTATCAAGAAAAATTTACTCTTGAGCAAATAATGCGAATAATGAACTTCACAAAATCAAAATCGAAGGCAGAATCGCACTTTTCCACCGATATTAACTGAGCAAATAATTGAACAGGTAGACATTGATTTAGGATTTACTTATTCCGAACTGAATTAATTTCGAAGACGCAAATCCAAAACCAAGCTTGGAAAAAAAGAGCATTAATTTTTCTTTAAGAGAACCTTCAATATCTCACTGAATAATGAAAATTATTGTAAGTTGAATTATACATTGCTTTTGAGTTGACAAAAGATGATCTAAGAAAAATTGATTGGGCTCATTACAGGATTGTCCTAGTTTCACGCGCCTTTCAAAAGATTCCAAGCAGTGATGTGAAAAATGGTGACTCAATTTTGTTGAGAGTTAGTTTTATTTCAGTAATTTCTATGATTTACTGACCAAGATGTCAAGAAAAAAATCCTTTTTTTATTGATGGAGATCCTTTCCAAATTAATTCTGTGAAACAGAATTACCGTATTTACTCAAGTACCACGCGCGCTTGAGTAAGGCTTCAACAGGGTTTTTTCAGTTGGAAATTTGGCTAAAATCTTATCCCCAAGTATGACTCACACCCCAATTTTTAGTAAATCTAAAACCACAAAATTTCGAAAATAGAAACAAAAAGTGTGACTTTATTTAGACATGAATTAAACAAAAATCTGACCAATTTTCAACTTTTTCAGTACAAAAAAGTTTTCTTGTCACTTTTTTTCCAAATTTCTCCATTATGATTAAGTATAATGCACATAGAACTTTCAAAAACTTCTTGAAAAATTTGTACCTGCTTATGACACGCACCCCTTTTTTTCTTCTGAAATTTGAGAAAAAAGGTGCGCGGGGTACTCAAGTAAATATGGTATATAGTCTTTTTACAGGTGGCACCTTGCAATTCAACATACAGCAATTCAGCCATCCTGCAATTTGATGGTCAAATTCTCAGGGACATTGACTTGCAATTCC